TCCTCTCATATAGATTCCTTAAAATCCAAAACCCTTCGTAAAATCCTCAATGCTCCTTACTTTGTTACAAATAAAATCATCCATAATGACCTTAATGTTTCTTATGTTTCAGATCTGGCTCAATCCGGATACCTATCCTTAATGAACTTCAGAATCTTCCCAACCCTCTCGTTTCTAACCTTGCTTTCTCTTCAATTCCTGATAACCCTCCAAGGCGTCTGAAAAAAAGAAGGCTCCGTGATCTCCTAACGTAGACATATTATAAGAGTGCTACCATTGTGTAGTTTCTCAGCAAGTGTTTTAAGGTCATTATATCAATATGTTCAAAATTAATAAATATATTTCTTTAATACCGTTGTAAGTATCATTAAGAAATTAAAACAAATAATAATAAAAAATATTTTTTAATAATTTAGAAATTCCCATGATCGAGGCTTTATTTTGAATTACCTTTCCAGTCAGCGTTTAGAAATAGGCCTCCTTTTTTTAATGTTTTGTTTTCCTTGATATCACATATAATCCGTATTATCTATATGTGCTCATTACAATTGTAGTTGACAAATTTATCTTGATAGATCTTATATAAAATAAATAAAAATACATTATATTCCATTGTGAAATATCAAATAAGAAAATTAGTAGGTTGTAAATTCCCACAGTAGAGTAGATAAGTATATATTAAAATGCTGAGAGTGGCGGTATTGAAAGGATCAAAGAGCTTGAAGACACAACTCAGGTACCAAGCAAGGAGAGAAAGAAACATTTCATTCCAAAGCTGAATTAAATCCAGAATCAAGAATAAGGTATCTCTGTGGGAATCCGACGAAACGTTCATGTAACTGTCAATAGCTTTTGTAACTTCTATTCTGTTTCATGAAATTGAAGATTTTTTTTTAATGATATTTACAACTGTATTTAAAAAAAAAATCTAGTAAATATGCATTCAGTAATATAATAATATGAAAACGCTTGTTGTGAAACTACTCACTCAAATAATAAATTTAAACAAGAAGATCACGAGGCCACCTTCTTTTCAGACGCTTCAGAGGGTAATCTTGGATCGAGAAAGAAGCAACATTTGAAACGAGGGTTCAGATGGTTCTGAAGTTTGCTATGGAAGAATAGGTATCTAGATTGGGCCAAATCGGAAACATATGTAACATTAAGGTCGTTACGGATGATTTTATTTGAGACAAAGTAAGAAGCGTTGAGAATTTTATGAAGGATTTTGGATTGTAAGGAGTGGATACGAGAGGAATTCGATGGTTTATTGAGTCCCAAACTCAATTCCGTAAGATCAAATAGACCTTATCATAGTCATATATATAAGTCTTTTGTAATTGATTGAAAGCACTAGCGGATACAGGATTTAATTTTTGGGAGAGGGAGGAGGGGGCTTCATTCCGAAAGCTTTTTTTTTTCATAAAAATAACGATAATTACTTCGTAAAAACAGAAAGAAACTAACTACCTATATGAAATGGTGTTTAAGTGATTCCTAAAGTCCTTTTAAATGTAATTAAATGAACAATAATACTTTAAGAGATAATTTTTTAAAAATTTTTTCCGTAAAACATGGTTATATTTTACCATTTTGGGGAGCTTCAGCTCAAAGCCTCCCTCCCCCCGTAGAGTATTTTGTAATTAATTGAAAGGTTGGAGCGTTTGCCTAGTAAGTGCTGAAGTAGTCGGAAACGTCGAGTGGTTTCTTTTCGTTTCAGTCTGGTATGAGGATTCCAAGTTAGACGTTTGTCCAGGTGGAGTCCTAGATATCGGATTTATTCAACAGGAATGAGTGTTGTAATATTAAAGGATACTATAGGACAGAAATTCATAGATTTGCGACGAAGTGTTAAGGTAATTTGATGGGATTTATTGGAATTTTTTTGTAATTCTCTAATTTGTATATCATTCTTCAAGGATTGTGATATGGAAAATCGATAAAAAAAGGCGGTCTACAAAAATATTGGGCCGTTATTTTTTGGCCGGCCCGTTATTTTTTTTTTTTTTTTTTTTTGTAGACCGACTTTTTTTATCGATTTTGTGATCAAATTATCCTGCGACGCAAGTAGAAAGCAAATGAGTATTTACGAGTTTTTTAGTACCTAATTAAACAGGCAAAGTTGCCCCCCCTTCAGATTGAAAACGCCCCAATTTCAAGAGTTTTCGTAAATAAAATATTTGTAGGTTACGTAGAGATGAAAATGAAGTTTCAGCCGGATATTAATAATTCGATAAAAAGGGTTCTGCATCCTGGACTATTATTTTAAATGAATAATTTTGACTTCCTCTTCTCTATGTATGATATACCTAAAATATGAAAATATTTCTATTCAATGTAAGATGATAAGCACAGATGGATCAACTGGTGGATGGGGAACTTTCGGGTTGATGCCTCCCAAAATGATATAATGTTCCCATGTTTTATGGAAAAAAATATTTAAAAATTCTCTCTTTAAGTAATTGGTTTTCCTTGTTCTTCCCTACCTCGCCTTTAAGGTTATACAGGATTTTCCGGGCCGGAGGATGAGGACGGGGAATTTAAAATCCCCTCCATCACCGGGACGCGAACTCGTAGTTTTTTAATCTCATAACTTGGGTTATCTGGTTGCCGGGCAACTCGCGGTGCTGTGCACACGCGTTAGCCCATTCGGTCACCCCGCTCCCTCCCTTTAAGTATTATTTTTCGTGTAATCACATTTATAATGACGTGAAAACACTTGTTGAGAAACTACCCAATGATATGTTTACTAGCACTCTAATAATATGTCTACATTAGGAGATCACGGAGCGATCTTCTTTTCAGACGCCTCGGATAATTATTAGGAGTTGAAAAGGAAGCAAGGTTAGAAACTAGAGGGTTGGGATGATTCTGAAGTTTAATGTGGATGGGTAGGTATCTGGTTTGGGCCAAATCTGAAACATAAGAAACATAAAGGTCTTTATGGATGATTTTATTTGTAACAAGTAGGGAGCATTGAGGATAATTGAATACTAAAATCATGACAGGCATGGATGCCGCTGGACACTCCTCCCCTCCACGCATATCAACGCTTTACAATTTTTATTCTTCCTGGCTGTAATTAACTGGTTATCAGTATTTCTCTCAGGTATGGTTTAAGAAATAAATTTTAAAAAAACTAATTTAAACTTCTTTTCGTCTGGTCAAGAAGCATTTATTTTTTAACATTGATATATTTCGTTTGATATTACCAACGAAACCAGCCATAATTTTTTGTTTGGTAATCAATTGCTCTTAATATATATGTTATACCGTCTGTTTGAAAAAGGAATTGAATGAGTGATCCCCTCGTTTAAATATGAATACTAATAAATCATGATAGGAACGGATGCCGCTGGACACTCCTCTCCTATATCAACGCCTTAAAACTATTTTTCTTCCCAACAACAATTGTCAGTATTTCTGACGGATCTAGGTGAAGAAATAAATTTAAAAAACAAAACTAATTTAAATTTTTTTTTGTCTGGACAAGAAGCCTTTATTTTTTAACATTCGTATATTTCCTACCAATTACCAATCTATCAACACGTCAGTCAAAAACTTCTAATGCTACGACTAAAGCTCTATGGTTCGTTAGCAACATACATAAAAAAATACCAACAGCTTACGACCACATACGAACACACTACAAATACCATATGTCCTCAATTTACAAACTTTTTTTCGTCTGATCTAGATGCATTTATTTTTTAACATTCGTATATTTCCTTCGATATTATCAACTCAGCTATATTTTTTTTGTATGGTAGTCAATTGCTTTTAATATATATGTTTTAACGTCTGCTTACATAAAATATTTCTAGCTAAGGTGAGGTAGTCAGTGAAAGTTGTGTGATGAGCATATTGCACCAGATTTTTTACATATGAGTTAATAATAACTATTAAGGGTAATAAAAATTTAATTCTTGTGTAACAATGGTAACGACAACTAGTTAATAACTATTTTAAATTAAAAAAAAATGGTGGTAATTAATACGTAAGGAAAAGTAGTGGCAGTGTAGTTTAACTGCATAATCATTTCATCAGCTCTTGATACACATGTTTCATTACACGGTTGCTAGACTCAAAAGGAATTGAATGAGAGATCTGCTCGCTTAAATATTAATAATAAAATCATGATAGGTGCAGCTGGGCACTCCTCTCCACTTTTATTCTTCCTGACAGTAATTAACTGGTTATCAGTATTTTTGACAGGTACGGATAAATAAATAAATTTAAAAAATAAGTAATTCAAACTTTTTTTTTTGTCTGGTCGAGAAGCATTAATTTTTTAACATTAATATATTTCGTTTAATGTTATCAACCAAGCCATATTTTTTAGTAACAGTAATGGTAAGTGAAAGTTGTTTGGTGAGCGTATTGCACCAGAATTTTTACATATGAGTTAATAGTTAATAATAACTATTGAGGGAAATCCAAAATTAATTTTTGTGTAACAATGGTAACGACAACTAGTTAATAATTATTCAGAATTAAAAAAAAAGATAATTCGATACTTCGTCCCTGTTGTTGTGGTAATTAATACGTAAGGAAAAGTAGTGGCGGTGTGGTTTAACTGCATAATCATTTCATCAGCTCTTAATAAACATATAGAACCTTCAATCCGGTTCTCCGCGCGACCAATATATGTAATCGGCTAAATTAAGTAGTAAGTGGTTGGGCCAGGGGCCTCAAAGTAGAGGGGCGTGGTAATAACTTGATCTCAACTCGGGGGAGTGGGGAGGAGCCATTGCTGTCTCTATCTCGTTCTAACCTCTGCCTCATACGATAGGTGCGTCTCTGTCTCGACCGTAGTAGGAGTGGGGGTGAAGGCGTCCTGATTGGAGGGGGCGGGCGCCTGCGCCTCTAGGGAGCCACGCCCACCAGGGGAGGGGAGTGGGCGTGGCCCCCACAGTCACCGGGACAGATTTCGAGTTTGAAATCTTAGTTTAAAGCTGTCAGCCGGTGACAGAAGCTCTCAATCCGAATGCGGGTGTGAGATGGCGCTGGAAGCGGAGCGGCGACCCTCGGCCTTCCACAGGATCGAGCTCCTCACCTGCAAGGATGCACCTCCTGCTCCTGCCTCTTTGCCATTTTCCGTGGACAACATCCTTCGTCCTGAGTTCGGGCAAGCGGCGCGGCGTCCGGTTCGGCTATCCAGGTCCGACGACGAAGGACCTAGTCCCACCAAGATCGACCCCCCAATACCGGACGATCCCAACGGACCCGTCTGGCCTGCGTGGGTATACTGCACCAGATACTCCGACCGACCTAGCTCAGGTAAATACTCAAATATATATATATTATATCATTACATTAAAAATTATTTTTCTGTGCTAAGTTCCGTAAATTAAAAAAATAAATAAAGTTTTTTTTTCAAAAATACTTAACTATTTTTCTAGACCTCGTTAAAACTAAATTTTTAATTTTTATATGATTGAAGATAGCCAGATGTAGGTTAGTGTAACAATGAAAAAAGGATGTGTAACACCAAATAAATTCTTGACAAATGGTGCCGCATCAAAAAAGCAAGTTTCAGTGGATATAATGATCTGATGATGGGAATTGGTCCCGAAACGTTAGAGATAATAAATATGATTAAAAGGGATTTGAAGGAAATTGGAAGTTAATTTGGCCGTAATTATGAAAAAATACATAAACGTAAGCTTCCTAAAAAAAGAAAAATAAGAAGATTAATTTTTGAATAATATATGTAATTTAACACATATCCGTCCGGTAATTTTTTGCACCGTCATTCACAAAATCCCGGCATCTCTTTATCTCTGGTAAAAGTAGTGGTCAATTTATAATATAAGAAAATATAATAATTATTGTTTTATTGAGTTCAAAAATGGTACAATTATTTCTGTAGATCTCATTAAAATTTAATTAATTTTTTTAATAATGTATATACCTTCTATTACGGTAAAGCAATTATTATAAAAATACACCTCTTAAATATGTGTAAGTAGGAAAAAATCTCCGACGGCTCTAAGTCTATTGTTCAATTTATAATGTAAAAATCATAAAATAGTATAACTATTTCTCTAGCCCTCGAAAAAACTAAATATAATCTGTGAAAAATGTATGTAATTTTATATTTCTTACAAAATACGTTAATATAATAAACGATCTATAGTGGAGGAAAAATTATTTAAAGTATTTAATATTATAGATGTATCTAATTTTGAAAAAAAATCTCCGGTAGTTTTAGTAAAATAATTATAAAGTAAAATTGAAGTCTTTTAAATTTTTCAAATTTCAGTAAAAGTAATATAATAAATATTTATATTTAGTAATATTTTTTAATTATAATTTCGTTATTTTTATTATGGGAAAATTAATATTATTAAGTTTCCTTCAATATGACGTTCTAGATAAAAATATTTAATTCTAATAAAATGTGTATATGTATGTATTGATTTGAGTGTTATTATTATTATTTTCTTATCTTTAATTTGGCGTTATAACTAATAAAAAATACCCAATAAATCTTGCGTAGAAATCCTCTAATTAAAAAATAAATAATTATAAAACAATTGATTCGTGTATCTCAATTTTTAAAATTATAATTGTCGTTCAAGTGATTTTTTTTTTACATTATGAATACATATTTTTAAAACCAACTTGCTATTTTACAAGTAATAGATTCGTATAGTGAAGTTAAAACACTTCAATTTTAAAGCGGCAACTTATTCCAAGTTAACATCAACCGAAACAACTTATTTTTTTTATGTAAACATGTTTTTTTAAATATTATTCATTAAGTTTCAGTATATAAAATTATATTTAATTTTGAAATGTATGAGCTATATTTTTGTTCCGCAGTTAATATAATTTTATAAGTGCTAAATAAAATAAATTAAATAATAAAATTGATATTAGGGCACTCCGCTATAAATTATTATATAAAATTTGATATTATGTTTCCAAATGTTAAATTAATAATTTTAAATAAATAAAATGACAGTAATACTTTTACTACATTTCAGAAAATAAAACTATGTTGACAATGTATATTGTTTTCTTATAATTGCTACTTAATCTGAAATATTTACGTACATTTATTTGGGGTTGAATAGTAATGAAATAGTTACACCAAATAAAATACAATATTATTAAAATCAATATTTTGTTTTTACTTTGAACAGTGTCATAGAATTTTATATAAATATTCAGATTCGTTAATTCAGAAAAAAAAATACTTGAAAGTGTATTTTTTTTTTAAAGTTCCGTACGATTTTTATTGCGTTATATTATTATTAAATATATATATTATTTACATATATTTTTGTTTTAATCATTAAAAAAATAAAAAGAAGTAAACATACCCGCTCGCAAAGGCCCACAAAACCTACGGATACAAGACATATTGGGTGGTCCACTCAGAAAGCAATTCAAAACCTGGTTTTATCTAAATGATTTTAGATAAGATCAAATTCCTTTCTATATGACTCTACTGTCTTTCCTTTTTTTTTTTCTTCTCCTTTTTCTGTTTCCTTCCTTAGAATAGAAAATCCATTATTTATTTAACGGATATTATTAACAGATCTAATTATTCAGCTTGTACAAGACATTATTTTCTCGATAAGATCTATTGCAACATGCATATATTCGTCAGCAAAAGCGATATAGTATTTTGTTTGTCATTTCAGATATTGTAAAATTTATTAAAAATAATTTAAATATGAGCTTAATTAAATCTATTATTGACAAATGATAGGAAATGTTTCAATAATTTCACATGTTAAAACCATTAAACAATTTTAAATATTTATTTTTTTAAATTTTTGATATTTATATGATATTCACTAATGTAAAGAGGCTGGTTGAGCCTCAGAAACTTATTCATAACTACTAACGCAGAATAAGTTAATTATTATTCAGTGCGAATAATTCGTATGCTAAGTCACTCAGATAAAAAATGACAATAAAATATGAAGAAATTAATTTTCTTTTTCCTGACTGATTACAATAGTTATTTCAGTTAGATTCTACAGCAACCAATTGACTTTTTAAAAGTTAACAAAAAAATGATAATATATAATCTCTTGAAATATTGTAGATTTTAATTATAAGGATAAAAAATTTGTTTGTTTGTTTAACAGAGCTTTTCTAAACAATATAATACATAAATAATAATATATAATGCTAGGGGAAGGAGAGGACTATACAACCTAAGGCGGATTATACAACTGTTCATTTAATTGTACTATTCGTTGCTCATATTGTATAACTTCAATTTACATGTATTCTGTATTTCAGGTTGTATTATTTTTTTATCAACATAAAATAAACTGAACGAAACCACAGTTCGGACAAATTTTTAATTTCTTTTAAAATCTGCATTATACATTAAGCCTCATTGCCAATTTATATTATTATATAATTATATTTATTCTTATTGCCGAATTGTAAACATAATATATATATATACAACTATATGAACTAGTTTATATATGAACAACAATAATTTGAGCCTTTTATTTTCAACATTGTCATTGTATAGAAAGATATTGTGCAGAAAAAGAACTGTTTCATAATAATTATAATTATAAAAATAATAATCACCATAGGAGAGCAGCACTAGAAAAGTTGAGCTCCTATTATCTCCTACTCCCCTAATACTAAAATAAAATAAAATATGAAATTCACTAAAAACATTTTCATATCATAGAGAGATTATAAATAAAATGTTGTATGATAGTTCCCATTATTTTCTCGAGGAAATGTTAGAGAGCTGATTTGAGGTTGCATTTAATACAAATACAACATTTTATCGATGATTTTTTTTTTCAATTTTAATGTTATTTAAAAACCTTTCAAATAATAATAATTCAAGTATAATTAACTATAGATTATAAGTTGTTTTTAGTTATGCACAAATAAAGTATCCTATTTCGCATAATTATTTACCAGTTTTTTCGTGTGATGTGCATATTTTGCGCACACGAATGAGAAGATAATCTTCAAAATGATGGTTCAATCGCTAGATAAAAACCTTTGACAAATAATATATAAAGATTTGTTTAACTGAGCTATTCAAAATAATAAAAACTATAAATAAAAATAAGAAATATTGTTTCAAAATTTTGGCTAAAATAATTAGAAAAATTAGCAAGCTGGTAAACCCAAAATAATTGTTTTTTTTCGAGGACGTATTTAATCGTTAGAGTAGATTTTTTAAATTTTCTCAATACTTACACGTCCAATACCAATGATTATTTTTTTAAAATAATTTTTTAAGAATTTCGTATCCTTTAAAATGATCACGGGTTCAAATAATAAACTTTTCAAATTAAGTCTCTTTCTTTTTTCGTATATTTTTTTTCTGACTTTTTTGAAAGATGCGATTATTTTTTTCACCTAATAGATAAGATAATATTCAAAATGAAGAATCAATAATTTGATTTGATGAATAACTAACGAAGGTATAGCGTACCGAAAAAAGAAAAAACTTTAATAAATAATATAAATAAAGATCTGCCACAGCGGGATTCGAACCAGTACTCCGAAGTCAAGACTTACTCGAGTTAATTCATACGATCTCTAAATATAATTTTCTCCTGACATTTAACGCCTGCTCCCGAAGCTAAAGGAACAGGAAAACAATTTCAAGTTGTTTATTCCTTAACCATTTATAAGGGAATCGTAAATTATATTGTTGTAAACATTCTTCTCCTTGCTTTATCTGAATGTTTGTGAATCTCTTCGTAAAATGATAATAATAGAAGTGGACACAACGGGCGAGGAAATTGTATAAAAGTAAACAGAGATTACCAATTTTGTTGGCAATACAACCTTTTTTGCACGAAGTTGTAACATTGTAACAGGATTGACAACTACACTACTAGCATCGAAACAGTCTCCTAGGTTCACTTATTACAGCAGTAACCATTTCATTGAAATATTTCATATAAATATCATTATTAAAATTATTTTAATAAAATATTAAAATTATAGTTCCATTATAATTACAATAGCAGACTTTTAATAAAATAATCATAATATAATACTATAATCTTAAAACTGACTAATTGGTTAAAATAAAGTACTTAACAATGATATTTAAAACAGTAAATAAAAATAATCTAAACTCGTTATTAAATTAGAATATAAGTAAAATAATAGCTTAAACCCTCTACACTCATGTTATTAAAAACATTTACCAAGTGACATTTAATAATTTTAAATCACATAGAATTTTAGTGAATTTAGAAAATTGTTCACTAGTTTTAACCATATATAAAAGGCTTTGCGTTATTTTAGTGTATTAAGTGAAATTTGTCAATAAATAAGATCGAACTTCACAAAAACGTGCTTAAAACATCAGTTATATCAAAAATGTACTTCTTCTTTTCATGATATTTACATATGTATTAGATTATAAAGAAAGTAAATGTGTACACAGGAATATAATCACATAAGGGTTTGTTGTAGTTTTGCCCAAAATCGGTCTTGGTCTTGCACTTTGCAATACCAAGTCCAAAACCGCCTGTCTCTTGCAAGACCAAGACCAGGAATGGTAAAAAAAATCGATTTGTTAAATAAACTTTTATATATTTATTTGGCAGAAAATACATGTTTGTTTTTTTTTTCTTTTCCTCACAAAATTTCTTATTCACAATTCCATTTATCTTAACAAGGTGCTACCTTTACCATAAAAAAACCAAAAACTAAAACTAAACAAAAAAAAAATATAATGATAAATCCTAGCAAAATAGTTACTAATACTTGACAATCTTAGTTGCTATATGTTAATAATTGGCGTAATCAATATACTTTTACATTTAACTCCTCTAATTTTTCATTCGGGCTTAGTTTGGTTTCTGCTATCTTAAGATAATAAATAACTGCAAGACTCTTACGCAAGACCAAGACTGAGTTTGCAAGACCAAGACTCGTCTCTGTCTCTCATTTGGGCAACATTTAGTTTAAGTATTAAGCTATAATAACAATGTTATTTACTGACATTTGGGAGATATAAGTATTTATTTCTTAGATTTTTTTACTTTCTAACAATTTTTCCTGGCTTAAAATAAAAATTTGTTTGACTATTAAATTTTGTAAGTTTACTTAA